TGTTGTTTGCACTGCATCCTGCCTCTGTTAATTTAAGGAAGTCCGATTTTGAGAAACAAAGCCTGAGTGGAATGTAAACGCTGAAGTAGAAACAATGCACAATTTGTGATGAGTGCAAAGAGATTCTTCATTATCCAATTTGTCCTGTTTCCACATGCTGAAGGAACGGTCAAGAAAGTTCGAACACCAATGCCTTGCAGCTGATGTGAGAAATGACATTAAGTGTACCTTCTCTTAATTGAAGTTAATTGGATTCAGGTTGTATCATTTTGGCACTAATTAGTTTAACCAGGGGAGCTCATGTGATTTAGAAAAACCCCCACATGTCATTGTTTCACGGGATAAGCAGAATTTTACTTGAATTTACTCACATTATCCCATGGTTTGATTTCATGGCTCTGTGTAACATCTGCTTGCATTTTGTGATGTAATACTTATGTTTTATATTATATAATACTTCCCATAAACATTATTACTGTGTGAAACAGGTATTAGATTGTTATAATGTAAATGTATGATTGACAGTGACACCAAACACAACAACTCTTAGCATTAGCTAGTCATGCCTGTTGCTAATTGTCAGCACTGATGAATTAAAAAGAAGTACCTCCCTAGTTCTGCATTTACTAGTTAATTCATCTTTAATCACTGAGAAACAGCCTGGAGGAAAGGGGTTGTTCTTCCTTTGCCTCATCATATGACCAGCATCAAACTTTTGTGTGTCAGCCTGGGAATAAAGGTGACTCTGTAAGAGAGGTATGCTGGCGAGACAAGAAAAAAGTCCCTTTCCATTAAGACTTTTCCCTGCTGTAAGATATAGGTCAGACTTCAAACAAATTCAGATTTATTTATGTTTATTTTCAGGTTATCTCCTCATTTGATAGGTCACTGATATATGCACTGTTGTTCTGGGTAGAGCTGTAGATAGAAATGTGTTAATTAGACATCATCTTACCAACCACCATTATTTCTACCTGCCAGCTTTGAGCTCCACTGGGAACGGTTGATTTGCAGGAAGTCCAACCCACTTATGATGCTTCTCAGGAGACCTGACATCCAAGTTGTCTGCAAAACAATAATTGGTTAGAAGCTGCTCTTATAAGATTGTAATGGTAAATACTGGATTTTTCTTTCTTGTAAGCATTTGCTACTTTCTTTTTTTTTGTACATGTTATTTGTTAGACGCTTTTATCCAAAGCGACTTTCATCAATACTGTGGACAATCCCCACAGGAGCAATTTGGGGTGAAGTGTCTCAGGGACACAACGACATGCTGACTGCAGTGGGGTTTGAACCTGTGACCCCCTGACCCCAACACCAAGGCTATATCCACTGCGCACACACGCCTCCGCAAATAGGTCAATGACAAGCCAACTTGATAATACAAATATGCCAACTTTGTTTTTGAACAACTTGAAGCTTAGTTCAGCGCTTTATTATAACACACAATTTGGGTTTAATAATCGGAACCGTCTTGTCACAAGAAGCCTCAAACCGGAAATATAAATTATCAAATTACTTGACCAGGTTTTCAAGTTACTCCCTTAAACCTTTGCACACAATTGGGACCAGGCCAGGGCTAGCCTATTTGGAAAGATTCGACCCATGTACATACCCTCTAAATTCGAGGAGGAAAACATAAATTAGTGTCACCCAGTTAAATCTTTTTTCCATTGGAGTACTGATTGCTGGAGTTGGATGTCCGTAAGAGGCCAGCTAGTTAAAGTGTCCGACTGATGCCAAACCACTCTACAGACTGCAAAGTGTGTGTGTGTGTGTGTGTGTGTGTGGGGGGGGGGGGGTGGGGGGGGCGACATTTCAACACCATGCATCTCATGCCAGCTGGCTCCATCCGAGGACATGTTGGGTTAAGAGAGGAATGACTACAGGAATCTGGGACATGGTGTGTTTTCTGATAGTAATGCCATTGGTTGTGATAAAGTTTGGACAATAATTAAGGAATTGACAGAAAATACAAATGTTCCATGTTTTTACTCAAATGGCCATTTAAACAAGCCAACGACAAAAATACAGACGTGTGAAATTAGTCGTTATCTTATTGGTGTTTACCATTAGAAGCAAGTATTGATGGGTTATTATCATATCTTTATTGCCTATCAACCAAAATATTTGCCATTAATCAGGGATTGGGCAAATATCAGCTGCTATATTGGTCAGCCGATTATCAGTCAGCTTCTAGTCTTTATTTATTGTGCATGCCTGGTCTCGTGGTAAAGTTCCTGTTGTGCTTTGTTTGCATGCGGACTTGTTTAATAGTCTCATGTCTGTTGGGCTTTGTCCCATCTCACATGCCATGAAGACCTGTCTATACCTTCCCCATAGACAGTTGTTTTCTCCGGCTTGCACTTTGCTGGATCAGTATATTTTAGATGCATGATAGTGTGTGTGTGGCCCTCTTCATTTAGAGTACTGCTTTACTGAGACCAAAAACTAATGTCATCCAGATGAATCATTGGCCTCTTTTTCTGTATCCAAAATATCCATCGCTTCATAATCAAACAAAACATTCTCTTGCACAATTGTATCTGTTTTTTTTGTTTTATGTCCTATATATGCATGTTGCACTGTTGGAGGAGCCTGTGACTTAAGTTGTGCATTGCCATAGGACAATAAAGCCTTGAATCTTGAAGGAAATGTGTGAGTATACAACACAGGATTGGGCAAATGCAGTTATATTGCCATTCGATACTAAAATAACTAAGGAGGATACATTCAGGAGTCTCACGGCCTAAGGCAAGAAGCAGCTTCATAGCGTGGAGATACGACAGCTGATCCTTCTGTATCTCTTGCCAGACAGCAGCAGGGTGAACAGGCTGGTATGTTTTTTTTTAATATCCTGGGCTCTTTGCAGGCACCTCTTCTGCCCTATATCACTGAGGATCGGTCGGGAAGTAACCAGTGAAGCTCTGGGCATTTCTGAACACTCGCTGCAGAGCTCTCCTGTCCTGGGTCCTTTCTGAATCTATTTTGAAATCAAGCATTACTTACCAACATGCACTGTGTCTATGATTAAGGTCTTTGAAACGGATTAATGCATAAAACATATACAAAGATGATTTGGGAATCATGAAGTGGGAAACTTGCATTGTTTACTTGGGATGTAAGTCACAGGTTGTATCACTATATGGACAATACAATTGTTGTCAATTCGATTTTTTACACCACTATTTATATCCCATCCTATTTATTTGTGAGCTGTCTGCTTATTTTGCATTTCTTGGAGCATTTCTGCCCCCCTTGGACAAGTGGAATAGTGAGAAATCATTGGAAGTTTCACCTCACCTGTGCGCGTCGGGGGAAAGAAATTGACCTAATTTACTATAAAAGTCAATGTATTAAATGTATATAAACTTGGCCTTCTGTTGTTTAGCTTGATTTGATGCCAAATTGCTCTGTGTTTTTTAAGAAGTGTCTTGTAGAAAATAAATTCTGTTTGGAGAAGTTGTCACACAGCTATTTCCGCACATGTCTTCCCTCAGGATCACAGGGGAAGACGCTAGAGAAGGGAGAGATGGTGGCGGATTAGTAAAGGGTGGAGATGAGAGTAGGGCTGTGGTGTATGACCAAAATCTTCTATGGACATATAGGTTATTACATTTCACAAAAAATATCACGATCTAGCATGTATTCTGGTATATCAATTATTCAATAGACTATATGAAACAACAACATTGTTAAACCATCTTTGGTATATTTCGGTGTTTATTAAATACTACCGCGTATTTTTACTTTTAATTAGAAGCTTTAGTGCAAAATTAACAGTTTGAGGTGAAATTGTAGGTAACCAAACGTATTTTAGATCATATATACACTTGCAAACAAATACAGAGCAATCAGATGTATTGATTTGCTTTCAAATTGGACCTTTTCGCATTATTTGCAACTATTTTTATGCGGGCATACCCCGTCCCAAAGGAGAGTTGAATGTATGGAAAGAGAAGTAATAGGAGGTAGTAGGACACCAACATGCCACATTCAAGCCAGGTTAGCAACAGATGGGAACATATTAATAATAGAACTAGAAGTGCAGGAGAACAGCGGATGAAATGAGGTGAGGAATGAGTAAGCAGTAGGAAACGATGGGGCAAAATGGAGGAGAACATTGGTGTTATGGGGAATCAGAAGTGTGGAAGAGATAGGAATGTAAAGGCTAGAGACATTTCAGTCTTTTCTGAGGACTTTAAACTCAACTTGTTTACTTGCAACTGATAGAAATCTAGGAGTTGACATCATAACGTCAAAAGACTCAACGCATGCCAAGAATGTAAAAGTGTGTCGGAAGGATCAAGGAGAAAAGGGAGTTTGAGGTGAAGGGAAGAAGGAGGGATGGACACTGAGATGCCAATAGGGGCATGTCCAACGAGCTGAAGACAGCGGGGTGTCAACCTACAAAACCGCTGCATGGTATAAGTGAAGCCTGCACAGCTTGCTCAGACTTTGATTTAGTTGTGCATCTGACCAGAGGAGTCTCTTTCTTCCTAATTGAAGTAAGTGGTTTTCTTTTAAGGTTAGAAATGTGTTTGCATTTATTTTGTACTGTGGAGCACATTGATGAGGAATGTTTTGTGAGGTAAAGCACGTGTTGTTTCCGACTCATGTGAAGTTGTCTTGTGAGTTTCACAACTGTTATGTAACTCTCCCAAGAAGTCTGAATTTTCATCTCAGACGCTAACACAGAAATGGGAAGTTGAGCTGGGTCTCAAATGTCAAGTTCTCTACCACTGATGCTGGCGTGCTTCCACTAAATGTGTAGCTAATTTCAAACAGAATCTTACAATTTTAACTATGTTGGTTTATTGTTTTATTTTCTGTTCAAATGACCTTTCGCAGACCATTAATAATTGTTCTGTTGGCCCTCACATTGCCTGGCTAATTAACATATCTTAATATAGAAAGGAGAGACATGGCTGCCGATGATAAAAATGTTGCTGTTGCTTCTCTCACATTGGAAACATGCATTTGTTATCTGTGCATTTCAGACCTGGTGCCACCTGATCAAATCCTGAGTGAGCACGTGACTCTGTCTGCTTAACGAGGAACATGACGGCCCTCAACGCACCTCGGGACAAGTAAGAGAAACTGTTAAAAGAAAACTCTCTGTTTATGTCCATCCTGCACTTATTACGGTCAATACACTATTTTCAGTTCCTGTTTAACTTACAGTATGTGCAGAATTAGATCTGGATGAAAGCCACTTGTTCTAAATTGTTTGTTGATATACAGTTTAATGACTTAATTCATGTGAACATCCTTTTGTCTCTTTCCCAGATACAATGCAGTATGGATCATTTTCTTCATCCTGGGCCTGGGAACCCTCTTACCGTGGAATTTCTTCATGACGGCAACTATGGTAAGTTAAACAACCCTTAGGACCCATTTTAATCCTTGGATATGAAAATATTTGCAGCTTAATGCGGTTAATCCTCATAACAACACACAGATGGACGTGAGAGGGAAAGCCCTGTTGGTGGCCGTGTGGTTATCCATTAGTTAATTAAGAGGTTAAAGTCCACTTAAAAGAAGGTCATCTAACTTTGAGAAAACAAAGATTGTTTGTTTACATTTCCCTCCAAAACCACCTGGTTTCACGCAGTGCGGCTGACCTGAGTCCAGCCAGGTGGATTTGCACGGCAGGGGTACAGACTCTCTAATTACCCGCCATTCTTTCTCAGCTTTAAGGGGTTAACTTCTTAAGATGAGGAATTTCTACTTCATTGTCCCGGGGGAGTTCATTTGCACCCACCCTCAGGGGGCTTTCTGATAAAGCTCACGTAGCTTAGTGCTTGTTTGTTGGAATTCCACTTGGATAAAAAAAGGTGCTTTAAGATATGGACCAGACATATGGTTTATAAATAACTATGTTGCCAATATCTATAAGTGCAAACGCTTGATTTTATTATTATTTAAGAAAGGTTACAGCCAAACAAACCACTTTTTCTTTCTTATGTACTCGGTCACAGGTTTTTAAATTGCACAAGCTAATGTGAGCTATATTACATTATAATGTATAGGATTATGTATTATACCATTATTATATTAAAAAGGTCTAGTTTTGCTATTTTGGGAAACTATAATTGTAAGATAGCTTAGTTTCCTGAGATGTTCTAGAAAGTAACTATATGCTACTTCCTTCTCTGCGAATGACATGCTTGTGCAAACTAGTGACTCCATACTCATTTAATCATCCCTCACTGTTGCTGCTGAGTTTCAGGAGCTCATCACCATTGTGACAAATGTGCTTCCCTCCATCCTTTCCTTCAGTACTTCACCAGCAGGCTGAAGGACACGCCCTCCACCACTCAGACCAATGAGACGTTGGCAGATGGAGATACTCGCAGCGTTCTGGAGTCAAAGTTTAACAACGTGATGACGCTCTGTGCCATGGTGCCTCTGCTCATCTTCACCTGCCTCAACTCCTTCCTGCACCAGAGGTACATCTTTTAGAAAACACTTTTCAAGCTCCCGCCCTGCTCTGCACTGACACACTCATACAGAAAACAACTCTACACTCCAGTGATTTATGTAATTTGCAGCCTTGTGTCTAGCATTCTCACTTCCCCACCCATAGGAAGCAACAAGTTAAACCCAAGAGAAAAACATTTGGTAACACAACATTCAAATTCTGCACCTTGGCTCACCCTTTCTTTCTGCCTACCTCGCCGCTATACGTAACATGATCCTGTTGTGTGGGTCTTTGTATGCCATGTTTACTTTAATTAGAGTGGGATCGAGGGAGATCTGGGGTGGACCCTGACCACGGCTGATTCTGCCCAGGCAAAAACACACCCAGGAATGCTATTTATGTTCTCTACTTTCCCTCCATCATCTGCTTGACCTCACTACCTCAGTTTATTATATATTATATAGATTTCGTGGACCCTTTTTGTCTGCTTTCTCCCTCTAGATTTGTTCCTTTCCCTTCTTTTGATAAACAAAGGCCTGTTCGACTCGATGCACTCTATTTGACAATCTCTTCAACCTCATGTTTGAAAGTAACTTAACTCACTTAGAAGAATCATGACCTTCTTCCCATCGTAACAGGAAACATTTTCTCAATTTTTCTCCATATGTTCCTCATCGTTCTCACACCACATTCAAAAATATATCCTGTGTTCTCCCGCTTTGTTCCAAACCCTGTTCTATTATGTGATGAATACGTGGGGTTGCATATGTCCATCCATCCATCCATCTTCTCCCGCTTATCCGTGGTCGGGTCGCGGGGGTAGCAGTTCCAGCAGAGAGCCCCAAACTTTCTTTTCCCTGGCGACATCAACCAGCTCTGACTGGGGGATCCCAAGGCGCTCCCAGGCCAGCGAAGAGATATAATCCCTCCACCTGGTCCTAGGTCTACCCCTTGGTCTCTTCCCAGCTGGACGTGCCTGGAACACCTCCCTAGGGAGGCGCCCAGGTGGCATCCTAACTAGGTGCCCGAACCACCTCAACTGGCTCCTTTCGACGCGAAGGAGGAGCGGCTCAACTCCGAGTCCCTCCCTGATGACCGAACTTCTCACCTTATCCCTAAGGGAGACACCAGCCACCCTGCGGAGAAAACCCATCTCGGCTGCTTGTATCCGCGATCTCGTTCTTTCGGTCATGACCCATCCTTCATGACCATAGGCATATGTATTTACTTTTATTATACGATTTTTTTTAATGAATGGCATTTATTTGTTTTATTTACTCCTACACAGAGATGGCAAAAGTACACACATCCTTTACTCAAGTAGAAGTACAGATACTCGTGTTTAAAAATACTCTGGTAAAAGTAGAAGTACTGACCTAAACTTCTTTACTCAAGTAAAAGTAAAGAGGCTTTGAAATGTACTTCAGTAAAAAGTACCCATAACTACCAGCTGTTTTAAACAGTACCTGACCTCCCTTATATTAATAGAACAATAATGTCATTGTTAGCTAATGAATGCTGAACAACGGCAACATGACAACGTTCTCATTGGTCCCTCTTCTTTAGAGAAGACCAGGAAATGATGGATACACGGATCGTGTTCAAATCAATAGGCACGCAATGACTCTAAATAATAATGATCACGCACCATACACACATTCAAAATAAAGGAACCAGCCTGTTTGGAAAATGTAAGAAGTAGAAAGTACAGGTATTTGGGTTCAACATGTAAGAAGTAAAAAGGTGTCAGAATAAGTAGTGGAGTAAAGTACTAATACCAGAAAATATGCTTAAGTACAGTAACAAAGTATTTGTACTCCACTACTTCCCACCTCTGCTCCTACAGTGTCCACAATGGATATGGCTAATGTTGCTGTATTGTATTGTTGAAACAAACATTAAGTCAATTTCATTCTCTCTGTGTTTCCGCTCTCAGGATTCCTCAGAAGCTTCGCATCATTGGCAGCCTGGCGGTCATCCTGGTGGTCTTCCTGTTGACCGCGGTGTTAGTGAAGATCGACGTGGGTCCTCTCCCCTTCTTCACCATCACTATGATCAAAATCATCTGCATCAACTGTGAGTTTCCAAATACAGAAGTAATAATCATCCTTCAAAACTCTCTGCGAGGAAAGTCTCTCTTCCTTCTTTAAAAGACCGCTTAGACTGATATCAAAACAAAAGGAAACAACCTTATAACCCTCATAAAGGCAGATTTTATTGCAGCACTGGCTACAATTGTTTATTTATATCCCGTTTCCACATTGAAGTCATGCAAATAATTATTTCCATGTATCTTTGGTCAACATCATCTGCATCCACTGTGTGTGGAAAATTGCTTTCATATGGTTCCACACTCACACACACAAACACACATCTTCCCTCTTACCACACTGAGCTTCAGAACACATTCTGTAATCGCACTGGGTTTGTTTATTTGCAATGACTCAGTAAGCAGCGGGGATAAGCTCACCCCCCCTCCTCATACCCGTTGGGCCGGTCCTGACCCTCAGGTCCTCATGAGGAACATCCCATCATGTTTTATTTAGGGGGGGGGGGGGCATCGTGACCTCGACGCTTTGATATCGAACGTCGGCACATTCCTCTCAGCGGACATGTGTTACAAGATATCTGCAGCTAATTCAACTCCACAGTCGATGTATAAACGGTTAAATCCATCAGTGTGATTCGAGTTTATATGAAAAAGCCTCATTGTTTACTTCTTAGTGTAAAGTGAGAGAAGGAAAATAGTTACATAACAGTAATGTTAAACAATTCATTTGCTCCATGGTTTAGAAACGGGGTCTGTGGTTTATATTTGATGGGCCTCTTTTTATTGCTGTGTGTCAGTGTGTTGTTTCTGTGTCACAGCGACTCTTTAAAATATGCTAATTCTTAAATATCCTGTCTTGTTCCCAGCGTTCGGGGCGATTCTCCAGAGCAGTCTGTTTGGGCTGGCAGGGATTCTGCCCGCCTCCTACACGACGCCCATCATGAGCGGACAGGGGCTGGCCGGCACCTTCGCCGCTTTCTCCATGATCTGCGCTCTGGCATGTATGTCTCTCACAGCTCTTCTTCTACCATTTAAACATGATGCACAACATGACAACTAGACAATGCAATTCCTGAAGAAACTGCGGTGTGAATGCTGAAAAGCTGACGCTGAACTCATACAATTTGGATGAATTATTGTTAATGTTTCTTGAAAGTTAGGAATGCCAGGAGTAATAGCCGTTGATTTCTGAACATGTTGATGTTTGAATTAAATGATGAGGAATGTGGGAGAATGATTCTCAGCATTCACACCAAATAACAACAACAACACAACGCGCCTACCATTGCTATACATAGACTTTTTTAAATCAAATCAAGTTTTATTTATATAGCACATTTATAAACGATTTTTGGTCGAGCCAAAGTGCTGTACATATAATAAAAATAGCCTACAGTAGAGACACTTTACAGCAAATACAACAGCACAGATTATTCAGAATATCAGTATGAGAAAAACGACACCCTCTGTCCTTAGACCCTCACATCGTACAAGGAAAAACTTCCAGAGAAACCCCACAGTTTAAAGGGAACATGGGAGAAACCTCAGGGAGAGCAACAGAGGAGGGATCCCTCTCCCAGGACGGACAGACGTGCAATAGATGCCGTGTGTAAATCGAAGAGATAATACATTTTACAGCATATAGACCGAATGTTAGGAAATGCATTAGGAAGGTTTAGCAATTTTTAGGAGGTTTAGCACTGGTGTTAGAAGTGGAAATGTGTCAAGCACAAGCTGCACGACCCCCGTCTACTACAGTTACATTTCTAGAAATATGTCTTTCCAACTCTTGCACAATTTGTAACTCTTATAAACACACATTTTAATGACAGAAAGTTAACTTTTGGTAAGAGGTCAGCCAGATGTTCAATCTCTGGACAGAATTATAAAAACAGACTAAGTTGCTCAGAAGTGTTTTGGCTCACGGGATTGTTGCTCACAGATTTGGCTTCCTCCGTGCTCTGACTCCCGACACATGCATGCAGTTATCAGTTCGATAACCTCTAGCTTGTTTTCAAAATCTAACAAAAAAAATATAATAAATATAAATATAAAGAGATAAATCTCTCCTTCTCAACCCATGAGACGTGCTAATGATAAATGATGGAGCGTGAGGGTGAATTTTGTAAAGTGTTGTTCATACCTATTCTTATAATGCAATGAGAACACTTTATCGATTTTATCAATAACTTTAAACAGCTGTATGTTGCCATTATTTATTGAAAACATATATGCATAGACACCACACAAATACTTATTCACAAAGTTCAAGTACATGCTACAGTTTGATTACCTGATAGAGCCGTCTCTAAAGTAAACACTTACAACGTTTTATTTATTGTTGGGACTTGAGATGGTTTCATTTCAACCTGAATGGAAGTTTGAGGCCGTTGATTGTAGTAATGATTACTAGATATTCATTGAGCTCTTGAAGCCCATGATGGTGCCCGAGTTTCTGATGGTTCAGTTTCAATTACACTACAGTTTAGAGCTGTTGTTTAATTTCTTAGTTAAACTATATATAAAACCAATGAGTCATTTATCAAGAGAAATGGTGAACATTTACCTTCGATAATGAAAATAACTTACCTGGGCATTTTCCTAAAGCTATAGAAAACTGTTAAGTTGTATCATCACTAATGACAGTCTTTAAAAACCCTAATGACTCTGTGCTTCTTGTCTCTGTGTGCAGCGGGATCCGCCCTGCAGGACAGCGCCTTCGGTTACTTCATCACAGCCTGCGTGGTTATTCTCCTCGCCATCCTGGCCTACATCGTTCTGCCCAGGATGGTGAGTCTCCTCTAAATCAAACTTTGTAGTTAATTCTTTCTAGTATCTGTTTCTCTCATTAACTTTTTTGTAAACATGCGATAAGAGCTGAATGCTTTTATATAGGTGGTATATTAGGGTTAGTCTTCTTTTGTTGGTATCAGTCCAAACCCTTCTCTTTGTGAGGTGATGGATTTACACATCTGTCAGAGAAAATGTACCACATCTCAGAGAGTGTGATCTCTCATCTTAGCTCTACTGGCTCAGCTCATTATGTTGTTGTTGTTTTTTGACAGGAGTTTTTCCAGTACTTCATGGAGAGTAATGGATCCAGACCCGCTACTGATGAGGAGAACAAGATGGACTTACTCAAAAAAGGTACTGACACTTATGGCTGCAACCATTTTCATTTAAATGAATGTTTTCTGCTAGCAGATAACAACACAGGCAATATGATTAATCATTGGTTTATGGTGATTGTTCATCCCAGTTTCTCTATGTCCCAGACAGTGCATGTCTTAAAATGCCTTGTTTTCTCAGGCCAAATCGCAAACCGAAAGATAACAGTAGATGTTTTAAGTTTTGTTTTAGTAATCTGTTTTTGTTACGTTTCAATATATTCAGACTTGTACCTTTTTGTCAAATAATCACACATGTTGTAACACAGTTGCTTAACTGTTGTATGGGTGATTCAACCATGAGAGTTTAATGTTAATCAGGACCTAAGGCTTATACTAAGGCTGCATATACTAAGGCTGCATATACTAAGGCTGAATATACTAAGGCTGAGTCCTTGCAGCAGTGCAAAACTAATAAAAACAGGAAAAACAATCATGACTTTTACTTCCCGGGAGAAAAACCCACAGAACCAACACGTCAGACATGCCGTTTGGATTATTTCTGGTCTCTGTGTCGCCTTAGCCTCTCCCTCACACCCACAGTATGCTCTGTTTACTACACACTAACCATGGGAGCCAAAACCTCTGAATTTGCTTGTTTGTTTGTTTCTCAGATAGTACAGAAGAGAAGCGGCCGGTGGTGAGTCTGACGGAGGAAGAGGCCAAACCCACCGTGTCTGTGGTAAACATCTTCAAACAGGTGAAACACTAAGATATATATATACAAACACTAACAAAAATAAATGGATGCCAATCTTCTATTAAAAAACTTCTTGATTGACCAACCTTTGCTGCCATTCAGCATCCCATAACAGCTTAGACATAAACCGCTTCGTACTGAATCAGTTGATTAATATAATATCACACAACACGTCTGTCTCAGTGGAAAACAAAAAGACAATCAAATATAATTCCATAACATTTGTTGCTGTTCTTTCAGATCTGGGTGATGGCTCTGTCCGTGTGCTTCATCTTCACCGTCACCATTGGAACATTCCCGGCAGTCACAGTGGAGGTCAAGACGACGGTGGCAAATGGAGGAGCCTGGGGTGAGTCTCCATCTCTAACATCTGTACAAAGCTGCAGGAGCTACTGAGCCACTCACACTGATAATCTGACATTTGAGAGGGATGGCATTTATCTGCATAACGTTATCAGCCAACATTTCCTTACAAGAAAATCTGAAGATATGTAACTCCTCACCTCAGACAGTAAGGGTGTGTTTATGGGGCAATCATATCTTGTCTTTTCTGAGGATATTGTGAGAAAATTGGAGGTAACTCTACATTAGTATGGACTGACCTGGATCTTTTTCTGCTCATTTGTATCCCCTAAATTAGACTGTTACTGTCATTGCAGATCCATGTAGTTTAAATTGTGAATGTAGCAGACAGGACAAAGAGTTCATTAATATGAGAGCAGCCTTTAGGAACTCTGGAATCACTTTAGTATATTCTTTAGTTAGCAATGTAGCCCTCAAACAGTTTCAGCTTTGAGCACAGTAAGCTTTTGTCTGCTTGGATTCACACGCCCCGGAGTCGAAGCAGAACACAGTTTAAAAGTATTTTGAGATGTTTCTAAGGCTGTTATGATTGATGACTTTCTGTGCTGTGACTGCTGGGAAGCAATGCTGACTGACCCCATTAGGTTTTTTAACTCCAGCTTTTTATCCCACTGAGGTTTTTGTCTCAAGCAAATACATCTGCAGGCTTGTTGTTGACAACAGCTGGTTTGTTTTTGTCCCTTTTCAGAAACTTACTTCATCCCCGTGTCGTGTTTCCTCCTTTTCAACCTAATGGACTGGGCCGGCAGGAGTCTGACGGCCGTCTGTATGTGGGTCAGTAACAACTCCACAACACAAATACTGAATCTACCAACAATCACTGACTGCAAACTTCTCTGGAGCTTTGGACTTTCTCCTTGGGATCTATCAGTTCTCAAGCTCGGACGTAACTCATTCGTGCAAGTTTAGGGGATATATTCAGGCAGAACATTAATATAGAAACTTGTCACAGATTAGCTTAGCCTCAGTCTCACAAGGTCTTAAAGTTACCTTATCTATGCTGCTACTTACAACTGTAAAAATACCACCAGAAAAAAATCCAAAACTACCCCTTTGTAGATATACAGGTAGTAAAAGCATAGACTCTGCCTCCTCACCAAGCCCGGCCAACAAATCCATTGATATACAGCACAAAAATATTTAGTGTGATGTGCTGATGTCTAGCGGGAGAATGGTGCTCTGGACAACAGACACTTTAGTAGAAGCCTTTGGCTGCATTTAATGTTTACTCACAAATAAGTCGAGACTGTAAAAACATCAGTCACTAGGAAATGAAGGAGAATATTTTTGTTGTGCTGAGATCAGAGGTTTATTTTGGGGAAAAGTGCTTAAAAGGAAGTGGTTTTAGGATCTGAGTAGAAAGACTGGTCTTTTTGAAGGTGTTCCCCCTGTTACTTGAACAGCTGAATGAACGCTGGCAGCTTTAGATAAGAAGCCTGACACACTGGGCATTGTTTCTGTTGTCATACATTTGTATTGTGATACTGCCTTTATAAATGATTATAGGTTTTTACCACAGCTCTCTCCGTCACCACTTGATAACCAATGTCTTGTGTGGCCTCAATTTGAATGTGTTGTCTAAACTTGTCTGTAAAGTTTAGACTCCTTTCTGGAACAGACCCATACAAATTCTAAATTTACAAGTCTAATTTCCTGCGCTCCTGAGGAAGTAACCAGAATTAAATAAATGAATTCTGTACAGTGAGTTACTCCGTCTGACCTGCACAGGAATGCAGCTTGTCATGAGTGCAGTCAGATAACTGCAGTCAGCTGCTCCGAGACCATGTGAGTGCATTTACTATCATTGCACTGATCAGGATCCCGTTGGTGCTTAGTGGCTCCAAGGCTACAGTGGAAAAGCGAATACAGCTTCTTCCTGTGTTGTTTTCTAACCATATTTCCTTGACCTCAAAGGAAAATGTCACGAGAGATGTGAAGAACAATTTATAAGGACTTGGGGAAAGACACCCACAGTGGGGTCTTGGGAGCACACCTGGTAGAGTGGGCGCTTCATGTATAACTGGGAATAAATTCAGCCGTGACCCTGTGCTGCATCATGCATCTCTTCCCCTCTCTCCTTCCAGTGTTACTGACTATCCTCAGCTGTCCTATCACATAGAGGCAAAAGCAAAAAGCCCCGAAAATTATCTTAACTACTTCATACCTTTTCTGCCCTTAAAGCACCCAGAGTAATCTGTCTGTGCAGACATTAGGATTGGGCGATAAGTACAATCTTTGTTCCTCTAGCTCTAACTCTTAATTACTCTTAAAGGGATGACAATTTAATACTGTAGGTAAAATACAATTCTGAAAAAATGTCCAAAAACAAACTGCAATTTGAGCTCGTTTTTGCTTTTCTAATCGCCCTACACCAGTGTTTCTCAAACCTTTTCATACCAAGGACCTCTTAACCAATAAAAAAACACTCGCGGACCACCTAACTCCACAAATATCCAAAACAAAAAGCCTGCTTACCACTCCAACAGTTTATAACAAATTACAGCCTAATAATGATACCTTAACCTTCTCTATATCGCCTCGTTCACACATTAAATCAACAATACGAATACAACTACAGATTATATAAGCATTTTTGTTCAAATGCCATTTAAAATGCTCAGGTTTTACACCTCTTATGAAATGTAGACTACATTTATTACGGAGTTTATGTCCGAGCCAACAGACTCACAGATCATTGGCTACTGAGAGAAATGCAAAACACACCGCATGTAGTACGACACAAAGCTCCGCTGTGGATTTTCAAAACAAAATACAGTTAAACTATGGTCGCAGGCCCAAGTTTAACTCTCTGAGATCTAAGCCATTTTTTCACATGTTAGGCTCGCGTCGGCTTTTTTTTGTTGTAAAAATGCTATTAAAACATGAACCTTGGTAACCATCGGGCTGGCCTGCATGGTCTGCCTACAAAATAAGAATAAAAAAACTTTTTGCAGCCCCAACAACAGCCTCTTCATGTAATGCTTCATTGGATGCACATATTAGATAATAATCTCTATCTCACTCCTAACACATCTAAATCTACTTCCAGCCTGGAGAAATGTTCATAAAAGATATCCATTGTTTGTTTTCAACGCTTCTTGAAATCTAAAAAAAACCACATCGTTTTTCTAGAACAGATTACAAATGGCCTGAAAATGGTACAAACAAGTGGCAACATGTGTGACGAAGGTGTTGTGCTGGGCTATATCATGCAATCGAAAGTGAAACGTAAGCTCGCTCCATTGCGGAGATATTGCCGCGAGAGTGCGGAAAACTTAAATAAATGTATTTAATATGTGACATTTTACTAATATACTCACGGGCCACCAGTGGTCCGCGGACCACACTTTGAGAAGCACTGCCCTACACTAACACATATACTCTACATCAGTGTCTGCAGGACATAGAAACATCCTAAATGATGTTTCAGTGTTATAATGACTCTCAGTCTGTCCCTGTGGCTGATGTTAGTGTTTCTCTCTCTGCAGCCGGGGAAAGACAGCATGTGGCTCCCCGTCCTGGTGGGTCTGAGGATCGTCTTCATCCCTCTCTTCATGCTGTGTAACGTCCAGCCTCGTAACTTCCTCCCCGTGCTGTTCGCCCACGACGCCTGGTACATCTTCTTCATGATCTTCTTCGCCTTCTCCAACGGATACCTGGCCAGCATCTGCATGTGCTTCGGACCCAAGTAAGAACTACCCTGTGTCAAAACTCTTACATTGAGACGGGATTATATTAGTCCTGGCAGATTCTTTCTGCTGATTGGACGATAAGATTGAGTCCAGTAAATCAGTAAAAGTCTTCTAACTCCTTATATATTTATATTTCCCATGATGTTGAACGATCCCTTGTCTCTAACGGTGAACCTCTCCTCCCTAATGGATCTGTCCCCCCTTTGTCTCTGTGCAGGAAGGTCCCACAGCATGAGGCGGAGACGGCGGGGGCCATCATGGCCTTCTTCCTATCCCTAGGCTTGGCGCTGGGCGCTGGTGTCTCCTTTGCTTTCAGGGCCTTGGTCTAAGAGCTCCAGAAGACCCCTCATTAGACGTAGATTAGACGACCCCCCCCCCTCAAACACTGCCTGTCTTCACCCGCCAACAGCCTCTGACTGAGAGGAGACGGCAGACTAGAGGCCCTCGGTCTTCTCAGATGTACATTAGAGACTCATCCAATATAAGCTAAACATGTTGCTGAATATACGTCTTCCAACTCAGCAGCACAGTGCGAAAACTCGATGCCATTTATCAAACAGGTTGTTCCTCTGAGATGAATTGAAGTTCAGAGGGCAACTTGACAAAAACCAAAAGTGTAGTAGATCAGTTGTAGCGGACTCGTCATGTAGATGTTTTTTAATTTTCCAAGATAAGACAAATCCCAGGCAGGTAATGAAGACTGTACATGAAGCGTCCTAGAGCCTGATTCATAAAAATGTTTTATGATCAGTCACGTACTTTAGAAATCACATGAAGTTATGATGGTGTGTAAAAAAAGTCCCAACATTTTTATAAATGAGGCTCTTAGATTCTGGTGTTCGGATAGTCTGCTTAAACCAGTACATTTTACCCTCAGTTTGTAAACTGTGATCCTGAACGCTACTTTTTTTTAAATAACTTCACTCTGTACTGTTGCAGCTTTTAAACTTTGATCAAACCAAATACATGAAGACACGTGGAAATTATGAATTTTGAAGGGAGGGTAGACCCATCAAACGGCTCATTAACGTGCCGTGTGCAAACCGCTTCGCTCAACGCTGCTTTCAGTGTCACCTTAGTCCGTAAACTTCCTATTTAAGAATAAGCACAGAATAAATCCTGAAGACGAGGTTTTAATCCACAATCTGAGCCACTAACTGCTGAGTACTCATTGTCTTAGAGAGTGCTGACTGTCTGTTTGTAGATTTAGATGAAGAAGCACCAGCGTGGGTCAATTTGGTTTATCATGTTTCTGTCTAGATTTTCAGCCCACAGGATGACGTTCATACTGCTACTGTGTCTTCCTGTTAAACCACATTTGCCACATGTATTTTAGAATGCATGACGTGAAATGTGCCATTTGTGAGTGAGATAAGGAGGATTTTTTTTAATGTCATGAGTTGGCTTTTTCATTTTTTTATGTAAGATAAGTTTTGTATCAGTAGTTTTTAGTATTCTGTTCAAACTTTACCACTCGGCTCTTTGAGTGAGTTTTGTTCTCATGAATTGGGAGGTGCCTATCAGTGTTATATATTTGTGGCCTTTTAGATGCTTTTCTTTCTTTTAAGTCTGCTTTAGTTGTACATGATATTATTCATACCAGCTGTATACATGCTAACTGCCTGTTTGTTCAAAAGCACAACGTTGGTCTGTTCTTCCGTACTGTGTATTGTAGTTTGTATGGGAGTCATGGATCAGAAAATGTTGATCATATTTGCAGCTTAAAAAAGTTCTGTGATAAAATAAAACTGTATTTTTAAGAATCTGGCTCCTCCTGTTGGTCATTTACGGAAATGCACTGCTCAACATTCAGCCGATCAGGTAATAAAGAAATCTGGTTGTTGCTAATATTCATGAAACAACTGGACTCAAACGTATCTAGACTTGAATCTGAGTGTACATTTACGGCGCTCCTCTGCTGATAACTGCTGATCCTCTGCATGTGACTGAGTAATGAAGTTAACTTTCCAGAAAGACGTCTCGGTGTTAGTCACAGAAAGATTTAAAATCTCAGTGACTTTTATGGCACAGATAAAGCAACTTTTGCCCCTGTTCAAATATAACTGCTCTAAAATGTAAGAATTTTACATTTTGAAATGGATACATAAGTGGTAAACTTTAAGATGTGTTAGTTTTTCTTAATTGCTTAAACATTTGAAATTAAGATACATTTCCACTTGCATTAAGACACTTTCTTCCTAATTATACCCTATAAACACAAGCAATGAAGTACGGTGCTGGTATCAAGAGTAAAAACATCTTAATTACCCAAGGACTAGTATACTGGCTTCAATCCCGTACAGACACAGGATGCTTAGTGTTCAAAAAACAGTTTGTGCCATAGATGACATGTGTTAAGTGCTTTAAAGAACTTGATATAAAACAAAAGTCTTAAAATGTGTGTTCCTGAGTGACGTTGAAATAAAATATTTATTTTCTGTCATTTTGTTCACATGAAATCATTTCCAAGTAATCATTTCCTAAAAAGAAAAGACGCAAAGGAGCAATTGATTTATTCTTAAGGTAAACATTTTATTCAAAAATAAATTACCGGAGACATCTTTAAAAGGCAGACAGACATTGTCTCCGAGCCACTCGTCACAATCAAAACATTTTCCTATCAGAATCAAAATATTCACACCACATAACGTCCGTCCTAACGAGAAGGAGATAAACTATGTAAACCCTACTACAGCAGCAACTTATCCATCTTAAACCACAGACTGGTGTTAGGTTGATCAAGGAAAAAAACAGCCATTGTCCACTGATTCACTATAAAAATGTACAAAGTTTATTTAAATATTTAATCCAACATATACATGCCCGATTTGTACTATGTGATCACAGAAAGAGAGAGGCTGTACAGTTCAGAAATGTGGATGGAATCAACGAAAAGAGCAGAGAAACAAGTCAGAAATAAAGATGGGTCCAGGTCTATTTTATCAGTATTGGAGAAATCGAAATATTCATCCGACTCCAGAAAGAGAGGCAGTGGATACAATCTTAACTCGTCGGTTACAGGAATAGTTCACAATGTTTGCAGTATAAACTCATCACTTTGTTCCTGAGTAACATGAGAAGATTGATACTACTAGTCTTGTGTCTGTCAGGTAAATGTGAAACTGCAGCTAGTTAGCTTAGCATTAAGGTGAAACGGCTAGCATGTTCAAAAGAAAGAAGTAAAACATGGTCAACACATCTAAAGCTTACTTAACACATTTAAATTGTAAATTCAACTGACAGGACATATATTGTGGATTGTCGAGCTTTGGATGTGCTGGTACAGGCCAATTTATTTAATTTCGAAAGTTTCACCCCGTTAAGCTAACAGCATTAGCTTTTGGCTGCAGTTTTATTTTCAATCCAACATATAAACAGCTTCAATAATCACACCTAACTCTGACTCAGGGAAGCAAATAAGCATATTATCCAAAATGGTAAATTATTCCTTTATGAAATGTGAAATAGGAGTTTGAACTAAATAAAAATATATTAATTTAACTCCCTGGAAGTAAAAGAAGGCTTCCAAGTGTATTCAAAGTCCTTAAAATGCAACGAGAAACATTTAGAGCTCGTGCAGCTTTCATGAAATGGTTCAACATGTCGGTCCTCCCTGGCTGCCTAAAAGCTCTTAGCTAGTTTAGCGCTATGACAGAGTAGCTCCTAACACCATGCAGAGTCAAACACTGGCGGTCCGCTGCGGGACACTAAAGGCCAGATAAAACACGTCAGTCCTACAATTAAAAACACGTCAAAATCAGCTGAGAGGCTCGCAGCTTCCTATAGTTCTCTTCAGGATTACAATCAGAAAATAGAGAAAGAGAGACAGAAGCAACCGGAGCCCAGAGTGGGATTATGTTACCTGGTGACAAACTGAGTGTGAGCAGTGAATGAATGGAGGCAGGCAGGTGAAGTACTTTGATTTGTGCACTCTTCTGAGGACAGACATGACTGTTCATGCCTCTCCAGATTGTAAATAACATGACTTTACATTTACTTTCACTTATGTAGAATCAATAAAAATCTGTTTCCTGAATCAAATAATAAAATTCACACGTGAGTCAGCTCATTATTATTCGCTAAATTACTTGTGCTTGTAGGATGTGTTAATTAACAGACTGAAGTAAATCGAGCTCCCGCCTATAAGACAACACAAATTATTAAATGGACAAAACCGTTTCATTTTGCATCCGTTTGTTGATTACAGCTGCCCACAGCGTTGTCAATTTTCCCTGAATTACAGCTCAATTCTGAAGCGAGTGTAGTACGCTACCAGCAACAATGTGTGTGTGTGTGTGTGTGTGTGTGTGTGTGTGTGTGTGTGTGTGTGTGTGTGTGTGTGTGTGTGTGTGTGTGTGTGTGTGTGTGTGTGCGCGCGCGTGTGCCTACAATACAAGACGCATCTTTTACAGCATGGCACACCGGAGGATATGCCTTCAGGTCCTGATTTGGCGAGAGGCTTCTCTGCTCGGTCCTCTTAATATTAAAAGGTACAGCGTCTGCTCTGAGGCACTGGGGGGCGATGTAGAGCAGACAGAGAGCATCAGGTCCAGCAAATAGAGACGGTGGCAGCGATGAGATGATGGAGGACTTTTTGGGGAAGGGGCTAAAAGAGGATCAGCTTTGGTGTTGAATTAGTTCCACAGTTCTAGGTTTGATCACATTTAGCGGTGCACATGGCGGGGGGGGAGGAGGAGGAAGAGCGTCAGTGAGTCTTTAACTCACTGACTCGCTGCGAGCCCGATTCTGTCAAGCTGGCTTTGATAGAGTTAACCACCGTCTGTCTGACGTTGTCTTCCATATAATGTTCACTGAGCGGCTTCAAAACCTGCAGGAGAGGAGGAGAGAGGGGGTTTGTGTGAGAATACATCATTAAAAGTGTCCAGAAAACAGTCTTAAAAAGGGGGCAAAGAAAGTGAAATTAAAGATTTGGGAAGAAAAAAAGATTAAAGTGAAATAAATTAAGGAAAACAAGGTGTAGCGTCCAACTTGGAGACCACAGACAACAAAAAAACAACAACCCAGGATTCACAACGTAACTGAAGAAAATCTCAACTGAAAATAACAATAAAGATTATTAAAAAAACGTTTTGGCATGCTTCCTTTCTTTGAGATCCTGAGATGGGCTTTGCCTGTCGCAGTTACATTCAGTGAAGCTCAGAGGACGTCCAGGGGTTAAAGCTTAAGAGTCCAGCACCATTTGACTGAATAATATGCAAAAAGACGCCAGCAAACTGCAGGAGTTTCCATAAGAAGTTTAACAGAGTGTAAATGTGTCCGGCAGCTAGATCCTCTTCTTGTAGTTGTTGTTGAGAGGAGACAGAGCTCTGAGTCCTAGCGAGGCTCCTGATGGGAGGGAAGAGAGGAGAGAGACGGGCCACGCCAGGCGGCTCTTTACGGGCTCCAAGAGTTTGGAAAACACCTGAGAGAGAGCAGGGAGGAGCGGGGGGGTTACAACGAGGAACAAGAGAGACGGGAGGAAACACACTGGAGCAGCAGGAGGAAGATACGGGAGGAGAATGGGGAGAAACTAATAAGGACTGCAGAAAAAATGTCAAAAAAAGTTAATAGTAGAATTAATATTTAGTAATATAATAATATTTCTAAAAATGTTTTAGAATAGTAAGTCATAAAACATTTTAATAATTATCTTACTACAGAATCTTATAAATAAAAACATAGTATAATATGTGAATATATAAAAATCATTTAAAAAAAGTCAGAATATTGTATGCAGTAAAAAAGTCAATAAAAAAAAAAAAAGTTTAAATAAAAATGTGTAAATATGTGAAGATGTGAATTTTAAAAAGGGGAAAAGAAGAAAGACTTGAGAATACTTGGGAGATGTTGAACCAAACGAGTGAAAAGAACAGAGGGAGAAGGAGGGGGAGAATGGAAAGGAGGCAGGATGTTTGGAACGACGCAGAGGATCAGAGAAACAGGAAATGACATCTCTCACCTTTCTGAGGGTCTTCTGTAAACAAGGGAGGGAGGAAGAGACACAAAGCAGAGGAAGGAGGGAGAGTCAGAGGAAACGAGAGGGAGGGGTTTGTTGTGAACCCCAAAACATTCATGAAACACAAAACAGAAGACAAACAAACTTCATATCCTCCTGAGTGAAGTCTGAGGGTAAAAACTGAGGGAGGAACGAGAACAAATAAAAGTAGGTAATGACAGAGTGTAAATGAGGAGGGAACGCTGGAAGGTGTTTTAAAGTTTGTGAGATGGATGTTAAGACAATCGTAAACATGGAGTGGAAAAAAGAAAATTAAACGTGAGAGGATTCTTGTTTCTAAGTCTAGAAACCTAGCAATAAAAAGGTCAACCAGAGACAATTCAGGGAAAATCTAAGCAAGTACAAAAGCAACATGAAATAAAACACATTTTAAATATATTACATTTCACCTGCTTTAAAAAAAGGCTTATATTTGATACATTCTTATAGTAATACAAATCTAATATTTGTATTTGAACTCAAACAAACATTTCTGATAGGGATTACTTCAACTGGAATATATATCTATATGTATCAAGTGTCACATTTACAGTTGGAAAATAAACCACTGCTCTCTGGTAGACTAACAACGCCAGCTAGGGCTAACAAAATGAATCAAAAAAACCTTTTCAAAACAATTTTTTTAATAACTGGTTGATAATTGTATCTATGTTTTACCAAGCTAAAATGCCCCAAATGTGCCTGTTACAGCTTCCCTTTAAGCCCCAGCCACACGAGGACGATAACGGTCGTATCTGCTACAGTTCACTATCAGATAGACGGTTCGGCAACACGAGGCCGACATAGAAACGCAGAAAACGATAACGGGTCCCTAGGTGGGTAGATCTGCAAACGAAACGCTCTGGGGGGCAAACGGCTACGCCGTGTTTACGCCTATACGATCATTTCCTGATAACGTTGACGCAATAGTCCCGCCTCTCCTGCTCAGAGATCAGCTGCTGGGCTGGCAGAAGAGGGGGAGGAAAAGAGAGGCTCCGTTTTTTATTCTTATATGATTATATAGAGTCGTTATTCATTTGTTTTAAAGCTCAATAAATAACAAAGAAGACCTTTGACCGGCACTTTTCTAATTTTGTCCGGAAGATTTCAACTTTAACGGACCGCCGAAAAAAAATCTAACTGAAACTCTACCGCACGGTCCCCTCGTCCCTTGGAAGAGGCGGAGAGGTGGGTGTTTGTCATCTGCTGGTGGACTACCGGAGAGAATTACAGCAGCAGGAGCAAACGCTTGCCTCGGGGAGGGAGAAAAAGAGCCAGAGCGTCCACAGTGGAGAATAAACAGAAGGGCAACCATGGCAACCATGGCAACCATGCACGGGAAGTCTTCTTCGCTACTTTTGTGGCGGACTACAGCGCTACTTACAGGCCTGGCATATGTACTACAGCGTCTCCAGCGCTTTCGAGCGGTCTCGTGTGAACGGACACGTTTCTGGTGCCTGTTGCGTGGGGACGGAAGACTTTTTTGATAACGATTGCGGTCCGTTTGCGTTATTGTCCTCGTGTGGCTCCAGCCTTACGGTACGTCCACAGCAGCTTTAAACAAATCTTCCAACGCTTCTCTGCCCATTGACTTTGAATGGGGATGACGTCACTTTGCCTCGCTTTTCGCCGAACTGCATTGTGGGGGAGCGAAGCGAAGATTTCCAGGATTTTCAGGATTCAAAAGTTGAGCAATGTTCAACTTTTGAAGCTGAGCTGGAAGCGTCAGCCAATCAAATCCCGTTTATGCAAATCTGACAGTAGAAGCGCTAGCCAATCAAACCGCGTGTAAGCAGGGAGAACCAGACCGCAGTTCATTTCCTCATATTCCAAACGAGAAATTACGGTAGCAAATCACCCGGTTCTTTACGACCAGAACTATTAACGGGATACAAACCGGAGGAACCAGGCATGGAGGGAGGTGGCAGAGACAGTGGGTGAAACTGGTAGGTTTTCGCCTGTTTGGGGAGTATATATATATATATATATATATATATATATATATATTAGTGCTGTCAAAATTATCGCGTTAACGGCGGTAATTAATTTTTTTAATTAATTGCGTTAAAATATTTAACGCATGTGCAGAATGGCCCGCCCCATACGTGCCACCAGTGGCAGCGCCAGGGTATGGCTGGGGTAGGCTACACCCATACCAAGAAATGGCTTAGCCCCACCATGAAAAATGATGTTAAAGTAAGCGAAATATAGTCTGCCAACTCGCGGAGTAAATTGCACAGACAGCAGTTAGTAAGATTGATTTCAGCAGCCACGGTTTTGAAAACTTTTGTCACGTAGTGATCGTCTTCTCAATAGAACATCTTTGATAACGGCGTGGTGTTGTTGCAGGAAGTCCCGACGGAGAATACTTTTGCTGTAGTACGGGGTGCACATAACTGGTACGCAGGTTATGTGCGTAATCTGAAATGCGTACCGTCACTTGTGTCACAAAGTGCATTTGCGTACCGACGTACTTGTGAAGCTTTTCCAGAAGGCGGTTAGATCACCGGACGACAGAGTCGGTCTCCGTGTGCACAGACAGGGCTGCTGTTAACGTCAGTCTGTACAACGGAATTGTGCCAAAACTACGCCAACCGGCTGCGGAGGGAGACTCCCCCCCACTTCACTGGAGAACTGCGCTAAAACAGCTGATCACAACGTTCACACTCTGTGGTCACGAAGTACTCCACTAGCCGCCGCCCCACCTCCCTCTGTCGACTTTCCTGAAGTACTCCCCCGTTGATAGAAATCAACACGTAATGAATTAAGACCCCACGGTTTGATGATTGATAGGTGTGTGTGGGTTGTCTTTCATTTTGACATGCAGAAAAATGTTATAATAAACATAGAGACTGTATGTTAAATGGATATATCCGCCTTCTTTCATTTATCTTTACATTCCCACAAAAATATACATCAATAAATGGCATATTTTGGACATAGTTCGAATGGTGATTAATCATGATTAATTAATTTTAAAGCTGTGATTAATCTGATTACAATTTTTAATCGTTTGATAGCCCTAATATATATATCCCCAAGCTTTCAGACACGCCCAGCTCCAACATTTTCAAGATTTTTGAAAAGCTGCTGTGTGGACGTACCGTTAGTCAGTTACCTAGTTCAAGCTTAATGTTAAAGCAACTATTACAAAAATAGCTATCAAATTGTTCATTAGAAATAACATTATTTCCCGCAACAGATTATCCTTACTCCAGATATATAAACCTGAACACACACACACACACACACACTCCTCTTCCTCTGATGACCCACCTGTTCCCAGAGGGTCTCTGCCACCAGGTCTATCAGCGTCCCCACCTCCCTGAACTCTCCGCTGTACTTCACGTACGCCCAGGCGCAGAGCGACAGCAGCGCCACGCCCATCGCCAGGTTAGCCAACGCCGCCAAGGTGCTGAGGCCGATGAAGCCCGTCACCGCGGAGACCACGTAGGTGACAAACATGACGGCGAAGAGCGTGGCGGGCGTGCGTGCCGTGTAGAAGATGTTCTTGCCGTCGTTGTGCTTGGTGAAGTTGGAGAAGGTCTCGTCCAGCTCGCCCTCCAGCTGGTTCTGGTAGCGCTGGCAGAACTCCTCGCCGCCCATTTTCTTCACGGAGCGGAAGTGACGCACCGAGTGCTCGCGAAAGTCCTCGTGGAAACGCTCCAGGTCTGTTGGGGCGAGGTACGGCTTGTCCCCACCGCAGACCTGACGGGACAGAGGAGAAAAGTGTGACCAACAGGAGAGGAAGAGAATCAATTTTTATTAGACATAATTATATAATAATACTACATTTGATTTATATAGCGCTTTTCCTGGTGCTCAAAGCGCTTTACAAGCAAGTAAAGAAGAAAAAGAACAACAAAAGTAAAAAGTGCTAAACTAGGTGGAATAAGGGCGAGGGGTTAGTGGATTAGGAGTTGAAGGCAAGAGTGAAAAGGTGAGTTTTGAAGGATTGTTTGAATAATGTGAGAGATGTTTTGAAGGAGTAGTGTGCTGCTAGCTTCCTGTAAAACATATTGAACCATGACTTCACACCAGTCTCCCTAAATGACACCTTTGGCAATCCTTGGGTTGTGTAATTGAATGTAATACAGATGAGTGTTGAAATAAATCATGTCCGTACCTGCTCCATGTTCCTGGCGTACATGTCTTTGGCTCCTGCCACAGCAGTCAGGTTGTTGGCTTCTGCTGTCGCCTGACAAACCGGAGGAGATGATGAGTTTAGGATTCAAACCGAACTAGAACCATACCTAATGAGATCCCTCAGACAGTAACTGACCTGCAGCATGGACTTTGGGTGAGGCAGCTCCTCCCCTTGGTAGATCTTTATGTAAGCCTGCAGGAATGAGATATTACACAGATTACCAAACCAGTGTCTCCTGTACAATGTTCTGCCAGCTGACAGAAAATCAACAGTCTGGTAAGGACTTTCTTAGGATTCACACACAGCAACAAATGGCACAATGGGTGGTGTTTAAAAAGAGGATTAAACCAACAAAAAAAGATGGATTTAAAACTGAGACATAATTTAAGTGATTATTAGAACATATCAATCATAAAATTGTGTCTTTTTTATGTCAAAATAAACAAAAATGTTAAAGCTCTGCAAGCCATAAACAGAAGGCAAAAAAACTTTATAATTATTTTAACATGTCTTCATTTTACAATTGTTTTTTTTCATATGACACCACTGTTAAAATGTCTAATTTTGCTAAAATGCCAAAACAATGTCAGACAACACACCCTTATCTTTTGCTATTTGTAAATTATAAATCTACTGCACTTTGCAGCACCTTGAAGTACTCCAGGAGATCTCTGCAGGTGACTTTGTTTCCTCCGATCTCCTTCTCCACCAGACGCTCGGGGGCCAGCAGGAGAGGAACCAGCCTGGCCAGCTCCATTTTGAAATCCCCATCGATGTCTGAAACACACAAACACACACCTTGATTGTCCTCTGCAACAAGCATATCAGTCCGGCTCACTTTAGCCATCGCTCTTCATTATTAGAGTATTATTATTGTTCCTGTTTGCTCACCTTTCAGCCTGCCGTCAAAGTAGGGGTTGGTGGCCACCTTGAGGCCGGGATGAGGCAGCAGGAAGCAGCCGATGTTGGAGAAGCAGGAGTGGATGTGCTTCCTCACGTTCTGCAGCTCTTCATGTTGGTTCTGTTTCACCTGAGTCAGCAGAAAACCATTTACTCTCACAGTGAAAGTGTGTGCTATTTCCTCTCGTCATTGACTGATGAGTGTGTACACAAACCTCTCACTAAGCAAATGTACACAGAGCTGAACAGACTCTGCTGTTAAGCGTGTTAGTGCTCTTCAAAAGAGGAGCGTCTGACAGGAGCAGTGAGTGTGTGTCCTGCTGCATAAATATATTTAATGATGTGTTCAACTATAACTTATCAATTATTCTCACCTGTAGTCTTCTATCCAGGAAGTGGTTTCCACCTTCCAGTCCGTAGCTGTGTTCATAAGGATAACACCAGTCCCGAATCAGGAACATCAGGGACTGAACACACAGGAAAATAACAACACAGATGACAATTAAAAAAAAGTTAAAAAAAAAATAAAATAAAAAGTGTGTCTATATATTGATTACTTAGATTTAAAAGAATCATTTTAAGATTTATAATAATAATTTTAGGATTTTCTTACTAACTTTTTAACTTATATGTTCCATAACGTTCCTGTTTTCAGATACAAATTCTAATGAAATTGCATTTCTCAATTATATTGATCTAGTATTGATCTATATTGACCTGCTGTGCAGCCACATGTGTAATTATTATAGTATATGTTATGGACTAGGATCATTGTCAACGGTTTATATTAATACATTAGGACAACATGCATGTACACAGTCAACAGAGGCGTCAGTACCTGGAAAGGTTTCAGACAAATCTCTTCCATTGCCAGGCGGCCATATTCTGTGAAGAGCTACAGATGGGAGAAAAACAAATATGATCAGCAAACAAAAGTCACTTTGGGGCTACTGTTCCGTGGGAGTAGACAACACAATACCAACCTGCAGATGCTGCAAGTCGTCCTCCTGTATGTTCTGGGAGAGATTGTACACCTGAGAAGAAGGAAGACAAATATGAGACATAAATACTGACATTTTTAGAGAAAAAAAAAGCATATTTTTCACAAGACAGGAAGTGCTTTGAAGTGTCACCTGCACAGAGCTGGTCATGGTGCTGAGGGCGAACACAGTGGCACAGTCCTTTATGGTGGACTGGCTGTCAAACGCTCCCTGAGTGTCAACGAGCAGCACAGCAACCTGTTGGGACGAGAGGGGACACATTTAAACTGCTGCACACTTCAGCTTGACGGGGGCCTGGGTTCCTGCTTTAATTGTTTATGCATGTAAACGTCACGAAGAGAAAACAAATGTGATATTGAGCAGATTCTCCCAACGCTTTTTTGTATTGATTGTTTTGATTTGTGTTTACCTTGTTGCCATCAGGCTTGTCGACCACAAACACTTCGCTCCAGATCTGAATTCCTGTGGTCTCCCTCTCGCAGCCTCCTCTCCAAGTGAAGCCAGTCAGCGGCTCATCATCTCCTCCCATCCACGACTTACCCTGTTGAAGAGGGGAAGAGGGAGGAAACAGGGGGATATGAAATATTGGTTAGGTTACGAAAAGATGGAAAAATCCCCATAGAGTGATAGAGGTGCAATTGGTAAATTGTTAGAGTAAGAGGCAGAGATTATTGAGAGAAGGTAGAGATAATGGTACGAGAGAGAGAGGGAGGAATGGGGGGAAAAATGAAAGAGAGAGTATGGGTGATTGGACTGAAGTCCACCAACATGTGGCTTAGATTACCAGCTAAAAGAAAATGTATTTTATTTTTTAAGTGGTAAAAAAAAAAAGGATTGTAGAATTGTACTGCAGTGCAATTATGCTCACTAGAAAAAGACGATTTTTTTTGAGACATTTGAAAGTATTTTTTGCGACCCTGTACTCTTTAGCCGTAACCCACCATCAGGCCTGACTTGGACAATCCTTACACTGTATAATAACAAGCCAGTCATGTAAAGGTGTGATGTAGATTAAGACCAAAACAAATCACTGGAATTATTATCAGATCGTGGTAAAAAAGGTAAAAGGAATTTACTCTTGATTTAATCTGCAGCACTGTAGCATCTCAATTGACACAAGTTATACCATCATCCTCATGGTTAGAAAAGTATGGTGTGTACTGAGTAACAGGTATGAACAGCTCACAGGATGACATGTGACTCCCACAACAACAACAACAAGAGTGGCGCTGCAGCAAAAGGCTTCAGTTTGAGACTGAACCCACCACAACAGATTCAAAATCAACTGTTTTACTCATTATTATAAAGCAATCTTTGTCACTGAAAGCCCAAAAGATCAGATGAAACAACAATGTGACCTTGTTATTATTTCCACCGGACATGTCATGAGATCTGCTGACCACAAATAGGATATGAGTAAACAAGCCTCACAAACAAATGCCTGATTTGAAATGCAAAGTATGCATGAACACTGATTCTTGGTTTCTAGGACAGGACATCTGTGCCGAGTGGCTCAACAAGGATCTTGTGACAGAACAATATGACCAATCTCATTTGATAACAACAAATACCTGCGATCCAATAATATTAACATAATCCCACAACTGCCAGTTCTTATTTGTAACATAATATATGTTGAATATAAAGGACAACAGTCTGAACAAATAGCATCAGTGTTTGGGAGAAAAATGTGAACATGTGCAGATCTGGTCAGAGTTGCATGAATGCCCAAGTTCATGCTGCCCAACAGCTGTGAGAAAAACCTTCTTCCGTCATCTTTCCAGAGAGCGTGTGCGTTCATGAGAGAGAGAGAGAGAGAGAGAGAGAGAGAGAGAGAGAGAGAGAGAGAGAGAGAGAGAGAGAGAGAGAGGAGAGAGAGGAGAGAGATGAGGAGAGAGGAAAGAGAGAGAGAGAGAGAAAGAGATTAAGTGCAAGTGTGTGTTCATGAGAGAGAAAGAGAGAAAGAGAGAGAGAGAGAGAGAGAGAGAGAGAGAGAGAGAGAGAGAGAGAGAGAAAGAGAGAGAGAGAGAGAAAGAGATTAAGTGCAAGTGTGTGTTCATGAGAGAGAGAGAGAGAGAGAGAGAGAGAGAGAGAGAGAGAGAGAGAGCGAGAGAGAGAGAGAGATTAAGTGCAAGTGTGTGTAAGGTGATCCTGGCTCCTTCTGAAGGACTAGTTGTTGATACTTGTGTTGGAGCGAGCCACACAGCTGTTGGATGCACATGCTTGAAAATGTGTTTGTGGGTTTGTAATGTACCACTTTGTATTATTAATTACACAAATGATATCAAAGGTCAGTAACCACACAGGGGAATTACGTTTATTGGACCAAAACTATTGATAGACTAACTGTATACAATAGTTCTCAAACTCTTATTATGAAATGTAATTATGATCGGTAATGATAGGTGGAAACCAGTTAAACCACTCTTTTCATTCAGCTGGTTGAGTAAGTGTCTCCGTATGAGATCAAACAGGAAACACTTGTCTATGCTCGTCATATTGTGCTTCACATGCCAGTACTGGGCGTAATATCATAGGAGGTTTCTGTTCATTCAGCCAACCTGTCTACAATTTCTACTCATTGTGATTGTTGCACAATAATAAATCCCCAGAGGAAGGACAAGTCGTGTTTACCTAGCTCATGTAAACACAGCAGAGGCATTTCACAACTACAACAAGTGTGAACAAGTGATATTACTAATTTAACTGACACTGAGCTCCAGATGAAAATGGATATCCAAGTTATACATAATGTATCGCATGACTTGACTTCTCCTTATAGGTAATTTATGTGCAAAAAAGGGACTATCCAAGGCCAACTGTTTTTTTTTATTGATTAAGTTAATACTTAAATATCTGTGTCTTTGTCAAAAATGCAAATTGAAAGTTAATAATTGTAACATCTATATGAACTTATCTCCTTAGAGAACATGTAGGATTTAGTAATAAATACAATTTATTTTGAATAAATCAGTAAATGGATTATTTAAATGACAGAACATCAACAGGTACAACTATTTTAATAATTATCATTTATTTTAAAAAAGATTTTTGGGCAACCAGTGCCTTTATTCAGGGCTCGACATTATAAATGGCCCGCTGGCCCGGAAGCACTATTTAGACACCCCGGGCCAGCATAACGTACTTTCCACTTGCCCGCTCGGGCCACTAAAAATATTGCTTTAAAAAAAAATATATTGTCCTGTGGTATTGGTATTTTGACAAGCAATTTAGTTAAATTGTTTCGCTTATCAACTCTACAACATAGCGTTTCGTGAGTCCGTTGTCGTTGTTGGGTGAAAAACAAACAGCTGTTTGCTGCGGAGCGCAGCGCGAGCAGGCTCCCGTGAGCGGGAGCCTGCTCCTTCACTACAGACTATCGCGCCACCTAACCATTCGCCAAAATGTTTTTAATACCAGCGGTAACCGGCCGGGAAAAAAAACTATCTTCAAATAAAAGAAAGTCACCAGAGGAGTTAAAGGAGAGTGACAGGGAGCATGATAAGAAGAGGGAGAGAAAGTTTCAGCCAGCTTGATCGATGGAGTTGGCTTTTAGTGGTGCAGTGACGTATCCTAAACATTTTATAATCTTTCATTAGATTTAAGATTCGAAAATGATAAAAGTAGGGTAGACATGTGGATATTATCCGGCTGAACAAAACGTGCATTTATCAAACAGGTTTGTATTCCACAGACCTTATTCCCAGCTATTTTCCAAAACCCTGTGGAGAAATCCCATTGCTTTTTGTCGAGGGAACCAGCAGCTTACTTCCTGGTTTTAGGACACGTCACTGGCTGCACCTCTCAATATGATGCCAATATAAACAAGGTCTTCTGTCGGCTCTGTACATCAATGCCGACCTATGCTGACAAGTAAGTGAAGAGTAGAAAAATATAAAGGTATTGGCTATAGGGAAATGTTCCAGCAGTTTAGGATAATGAAGGATCTAATCTAATCTATAGCCATTACATTTCTAACTCCTAATGACAGGAAGGCAGAAAGCGCATTATACAAATAATAATACTCATAATAATAGATGACATGTTTTAACAATGACCACAATATAATTATTTTAATAAACCAAATATGAACAATTGAGGGAAATGAGGAAGAACTGATGATTCAAATGTTGTAGTACTAGTAGTAATGTAGTTAGTGCATACATTACTATTGCAACAAATGTGTTAATTTTCCTCATTATTAGTCGATGTTTTGGACGAATGCTCCGGGCCAGTGGTTACAATGGTGGGGCCAGTGATAATACAATTCCACCGGCCCAGAGGGCCAGTGGCATTTTACCCTTAATGTCTACCCCTGCTTTATTAGAGTGACAGTTTTGAAAGTTGGAGGCAGAGTGACGCCCACTTGACATAAAGCACTCGACTGATTAACTTCTCTATTACTGAATGAAACCTCACTCCTCTCACCTGACTGTGCATGAAGCGCAGCATGAAGTCCAGCAGGAAGGACTTGCCCTTCCGGAAAGCTCCGGCCACGGACACCACCACCACGTTCAGGTCCTTGACGTGGTCCTGCAGGAGGATCCTCTCCAGCGCGGGGGCGTCCAGCTCGAAGCTGTGCTCGTTCTCGTTGGTCACGACGATCTGGATGGGCCTGGCCTTCTGTTCCTCCATCGCGGCCTGAAGACATGAGTTTGCTATCAATCAGGGCTTTCCCTGGCATCGAGAGAGCATTTAAGTGATTACAGTGATGAGGAGGCAGGTTTCAGGGAGGAGGCAGGTTTCAGGGAGGAGACAGGGAAGTGAAAGCTGAGATCAGCAAATTAAGTGTCTGAGGGAGAGTAGGACACACAGAGGCAAAGACGCACCTAGATTTAAATGTAAAATACACACAGTGCCACAATAAAAAACTAAACTAAAAGCCATCATTTTCATTGATATTGTAATTGTTATTTGAATAGCAATATTAGAGGGAATGATCATTTTTTTTTTTAAACATAAGTCACATTTTCATTGATAAATAGATTAAAATAATCAAGTTGACAGATGATGTGTGTAGAATACAGTCTGTAGGCCAGGACTTCACTGCAGCACTACAATACTTTATTCAGATACTTTTTTACATATTTTGCCTTTACCAAATATTGTGCTTATTGCAATTTGCACAGTGCCCTATTCAGTATTATGATAACATTTCCACTACGGGGGAGCTGTAATGGTACAGCATTACACTTGCCTATTCCCTTCCTTAATATGTACAGCATGTACTCACAAAAATAAAATCCTAGTTTGACATGGTAATACACAGGAATATATGGCAGGAAATACATTAACATCTTACCTCTTCTTCCTGAGTCTCTTCATCTGGTGAGGGGCTGATGAGTGTATTTTTGCCCGAGTTTGAGGCCGAGGTCCTGGGGGGGAAATCATCCTCCAGGTCTTCGGGCTGGGCTAAAGGAGGCCTCTTCTTTTGCCGTGCAATGTGGACATCTTCCACACCACTCAAGCCTTTAGATAGCCGGACAAAGTCGAGACAGAAAGATTCAATTACAGGGGTTGGATAACATCAAGCTGCATGTCAGTGAGACACATAGGCTGAAGGGAGAAGGAAATTAATGTGGAGGACTGGTAAAGCAGGAAGACTAAAACACGCTTTTCTAAGGAATACATTTGATTGTCATAACCTTGTTTGCATGAGAGACTGATTATTATTTCATAGAAGTTTACAAGGCAAGATAAATGGCCTTTAGGTGGTCGAACTGAAGATCTTTCCAGCTCTCTGTGCTGGACTAAATACTGTTATCCACCCCGGTGTTCCCATCTAGGTCAAGCGCAAAAATAGCCTTGTTCTGAAAATCACAAAGGACTTGCAAAAGGGACACAAGAAAAAAAAGATAGGACAATTTTTTTCACTTTATATTCTCAGCCATTTCGAGGTTTCTGTGAGTCTTTACTTTACATGTAAAGCACGTTTCCTTTAAAAAAAGGCAGGATTCCTTCCTTCCTGTCAGTTAAAAAAAACTGCAGTATAAGCAAGTGTGCTGAGCCACAAACTGTAATGCATGACAGAAAAGTAGCTTGTCTTGGCGGCCTTATTTCTTAAGGCTGATCTGTTTTATTGTTGATATATATATATCAATGTTGGCACTGTAAAATGTAAGAACTGAAGTCCAAGGTGACGTCTTCAAATGTCTAATTGTGTCTGACCTACAGTCCAACAGCCAACATATTAAGTTTAAATGAAACCTTTGAAGATCCAATTTGTCTTCAGTTTTCAGAGCTCTAAATAGAATTCTGCAAAATGTAAGCTGAACAAATTCTGTTTTGCCTTTAGTTTTTCAGCGTCCTGTTTTGTCTACTTCTGGGATTTCACACAGAAGGAGATCCTCATTTTTTAAACCTCCTTTCTATATTCAAGCCTAGAAATAAACCCTGGTGCCGGACTAAGATGACACTCCCTGAAGTAAATATGAAAGTGGCAAACCCTTGGTTGTACACCACCTGACTGGTAGGACAAGTATCAAGCATTGCTCATTCAAATATTTCAAATGATTAGCCATTCATCTGTACCAAGTTTCCCACTAGATTATGTCGCACCACATTCAAATAAGGTTTCGGCAAAACCATCCCTTCCAGTAGTACCATCCTTGATGAGCACAGGCCCTGATCTACGTGATGTACACTGAGTACACTGAGCGGTTTATTGTTTCGGTTCCAAAAGCTCAAGGTGACATTTTGAACTAGCATTCAAAAAAATACTCCAAACAACCAAAGATATTGAAATCAAACATGACACAAGACAACAAACTGAAGCACCTCTGCCTCTGAAGACAGCGCTCTATAAAAGCCCTGAGCCAGGTTCTTTTTTGTTTGTTTTTCATGCAGTTGAATTGGGAGATCAATAAACGTGTGCCTTGTGCACATGGAGAGCACATTTGGAGGGTTTGTGCGGTAGAAACAAGTTTATCACAAATTGGACCTCTGTGCAGGGCCACAGGCGGTAGGTCCTAGTAGTTAGATTAGAAGTGAGCACACTTGTTAGATTTACCAGTACCTAAGTTAGAAGAAAAACAGCCAGAGATCACACCTCTCTCTTCAGTACAAAATAGCTATTGAGCATTCTCTCATAAGCATTTCCAATGACAACAAATGGTCCTCTATCACAAACATGGACGCTCTATCTGCTGGCCAAAGCCAAGAAACAAGTGACCTAGCGGTGAAAAACAAAAGCAATTCAGATCATGAAGAAACAAAAAATAAAACGAAATATTGAGAGCAAACAAATAAAATATGTAAAAAGAAGGTGTTGTTTTGCCACAAAAAAGATTCTACATCTTAGTTGTTGTTACACTTTGTGCTTCTTATATGTGGTAGCAGGGCAGTAAGAGTACGTGATATCATTGTTCAACTATAAGTGGGGCCTTTACAGATCAAACTGGAAGTGCAACAAACTCCCAAAGGGCAGCAGCAACGCTTTCAGCACGGAGCAGTTACAGTAATCTTCTCTGCACATAAATTAGCCCAGGAGATGTCATCAGTGTGTAGCAGTGCAGGTTCCCATGTAGTCCAGAGCAGCACTCAGCAGCATGAAGAGGCTCACACTGCTCTCCCACACAAAGACGCTATTCTGCTAGGAGTCTGTGCTGCAGCAGAAATGTGTGCGAGAGACGAAACACAATAAGCATGCAGGGAAGCATTACCAGCCAGTGAAAACCCATTATCTTTGCTGATCACTGGTGCACTCACACTTCACGATAAAGTGGCTAATGCACTGTCCCACTCCTCAGCTCACAGAAAAGAGGGCAGAACTGAATTAGCCACATTGCTTCTTATTTTATGGAGACACTGAGCAGATGTCTACATGTTTGTCTGCATAGCACACACTCCAACGAAAAAGTTGTCAAGGTATGAGTTTGTAAAGTACGCAAAGCAAAAAGCATTCGCCATAAACACATAAGTGGGGGGTCTATCTTTAAATATGCATGGCAAGAATAGAGCATGTCTACGCAAGCTAGCCTACATCTCAGCACTGTGTCCCAAACCAGCACTCCCTTCCCTGGACTCCTGAACTATATCTGAGGCAGACTTTGATAAGGGCATGGTCTACTTAACTTAACCAGCCGTCTAAATATGGGAATTTTAATACTTTAGTAACGAGGACATTTTGTTGGTGTAGGAATGAATACCTTTAGAAACATTTGAGAGTGAAGGAAAATGCCCAACTTCAAGTTTGTCAGTGACAAATACTCTGCAAGCAAGATTATGTAAAGTATGTGCTGATGTTGTTTGTCCTGACATTTCACATTTGGATCGTGAGAGTGAACACTGGCACCGTTTAGAAAGCAGGGCAAATTCATGCCAAAGCCTTTCTCTCTACTGTTGCCACACTGATTATTAGTACCAGTGCTTCTAATGCAGACTTTTAACACCATCTTGTGACATTAAGGCTATGCATTTCAGATCATTTGAAGAAGAAACAACCAAGAATGTATAATATTATCAAGACAACAAGACTGCAGGGACTTAGTTCATGAAATGTGGATGAGGAATCCACTGTAGCCTATTAAGATGCGGGTACATTGACTTCTCCTCACACCAGCAGCAATAGACAACCTCACACGGCCTGCTTGGACAAGAGTCAAAGAGGGCAAATGTTCAATTGCAGCAAGCAGACCAATCAGGAGTCTGCGAGGACAAAGTGCAGATTAAGAGCAGCAGGAGTTAGTGAATGTTGTTGCCACGGAGTCAGCTGGCCAATATGAAAGTACACATAAGGGTTATCATGATAAAAGACTCCTGAGGCCTGTACTACGAAGCTGGTTCAACCTAACCTGGATATGTTTGAGTTAGCCGGTTGGCCCAATTCAAAACATATGCGCTCTCGCTAAACTGTACTACGACGCTGGTTATCAAGTGGATCGCTCAAGCCAGCCGTGTCCTATCTAGTTAGGTGCGCGTTCACATGAAAGGGGTGGTATTAGGAGCATTCGACCAATCACAAACATGGAAAAGCACACTGACAGCGCAGCGTCATACTTCCTGAATAAAAAGTTAACTTTAATATTAGACATATGAAGAAGTTAAACTTTAAACATCCATGACTTAAACACTTTATCCAGGATAAAAGCCACATAGCTGCACCTGCAAGGTGAATACAGCTGGCAAAAGAAAAAGTGTTTGAATGCGTACATTAACAGGTTTATGATATCACTGCCCCGTCTAAAACACGATCTGACTTTAAATTACATTTGACTCGAGTGTTTCGTCAACTTAATGTGTTGCTTAAAATAACACTTCTGCATACAGTATGTGACACTGTGAGTGTTGCACGGCCAGATACGGCTCAGCTGACTCAAATAAGGAAATATATGATACATTATGAAGTGATATGAATGATAATGGGACACATCGACGTCTGCACTCACAGTGCCGCTGACTGTAGGCAACGTAATGTTACTTTGATCCGGTTACTTATGTTGTGGCAGATATTTAATTAAGCTTTCTTAACATAATAGTATAGTTATAATAGTCAGATTGCTTTGAAGATGGGAGGTGATTTTGGCCAGACGTCTTTCCTGCAACGGCAGTTTAAACTGTATTTCCTCCGCACACTGAGCTCTGATTGGTCAGCAGGCGTGGTGCTTTTGCTGAGTTGATCTCTTATCTTGGAACATATCCTGCTTCGGAGCACAGACTAGGTTCCAGGATAAGTCACCATGGAGATCTAGCCCGCTAAAAAGTGAACCTGCTTCGTAGTACCGGAAATCCCAGAAGTTATCTTGCTAAACGAAAATCCTGCTTCGTAGTATACCCCCCAGGTTAGCCGCACAGCATAAGTTACCATGGAGATCTAGCCTGCTAAAAAGAGAACCAGCTTCGTAGGACCGGAAACCCAGAGTTTTCCCTGAAGTTAGCCGGCTAAGCGAAAATCCTGCTTCGTAGTATACCCCCCAGGCCATACCTCAGTGATGAGCCTTGGAGAACGACGATTTGTAGTTTGCCTACACGTCTTTACAAGGTTTAGAGAGAGGTTACAATAACTGTTGGTGTGCTGGGGTAGATTTGCTTTAACCATTTTGTTTATGTTGTCATTTTAGATTAGGAAAAGGATATCAGCTTGTTTTCTCCTCTTTTGAGATGGCAATAGTAATCATAACAAATTCTTTTTCAGATCAGTCATTTAGTTTCTAGGTGCATAAAACGTAAGTAGTTTAAGCAAATTACTTAGTTTAATACAAAGCTGTTCAAAGTGAAAAACTATTTGCAATTTTAACTTGTGTCAACATTAATGATTGATTATGAAGGCATCCTATCCAGTAATCCAACTAAACAAGGAGCTGGCTGTATCCCCATTTCCTCCGGCTGCCAAGAAGCCATGTATCTCGAGCCTACTGCTTTAAATGCAAGGTACAGGTGAAACAGATAGGGAAATTAAAAAATGTTACCAATACCAAATGGTAATTTTGTGGTTAATGAATAAAAACCAATGATCCGGATATTATAAAAAAGGAATCCTTAACATTGTAGATTCTTAAGAACTGTACCCAGAGAAATAGTTAAGACATCTACTTCTACTAAAGTGAACAACTTAGCTACAAGATGACATAATCATCACTTTATCTACAAGTTGTTTTCAGAGGACAGAGTTAGCCTCGCAACTACGTGGATAAGTCTGCTGGCAAACTGAACAGCCTAATAATAGGGCTTTTAAAAATACACATGTCTTTAGTGGGATGAAAAGATTAAAGTGTGTGTGTTGTGTTAGTAAGGCAGAAACCCTTGTTGCACAAAGCGGGCTATTTCAAAGTTTAGAAACGATTAAGCCAAATCATGGTGAGTGAGCATCTACATGTAGGTTTACAGACAAGAAACAACAGATCAGCTGGTCCTCGCGGGCCAGGTGAAAGTGACGGGCCGGACAAACGAGACAACAGGTGTCACGGATAATGTTATATCCGGGTCAAAATCTATTTCTTACACAGTTGGTGGAAAAAGTACTCAAATGTTGATTTCAAGTGCAAGTAAAAGTCCTGCATTCAAAGATTGGTCCATTTCAGAATAATATATATTGTGTTTTTATTATAAATATTGATAGTGTTATCAAAGCTGGTAATGATAGTTTAAAATACTTTGGATGCTGCAGGGTAGCTTGTGATTTTACTCCAGGTAAAGTCTTATTTAAGTGTGTAACTAAAGGTATTAAATACATGCAGTGGTGTAAAAGTACAATATTTACCTCCAAATTGTAGTGGGGTGGAAGAACAACATAGCGACATACCTAAGTCAATAACAAGTCCCTCGAAATTGTACTTAAATACATTACTTGAGTGAATATACTTTACACCACAGCACAGCACCTTTTCAGCTTAAGTTACACAGGAGAAAAGCTGTTTTGACAGCGCCAAACACACTAACAACACGTAACTTATTTAAACTAGTAGTCACATAGTTTGGACTGTTTTAACAGAGACACATTCTGACACGGGGCACCATATTTTTCACAACACCTCTCAAACTGAAAACAGCAGCTAACGGAAAAGCGAGTTTGCCACTCTCAAAGACAAAGACGAAAGGAGAAAAAAACACTTTAAATGTTAATCCCAAGCTTCTTAACTTAAGCCTGCGTAATCGATTCACTGTCATACATCTACTTGACGAAATCAACAAGGGTTTACCTTCGTCAACGACTCGGCTTTTGCAGTTGGGCTCGAAGTGATTTCTGCTCCTCAACCCGCTCACCTCCGCCATCTTGGACTGCTCAAATCTAACGTGTGTGACGTCAGATGAGCTTTTTCTTCTTCACGCTTCTGTCTGCTGAAGTTCAAACCTCCACGAGGCTGCTGCTGCAGAATGTAAACTATGTTCAAATTCACAGAAACCAAAACAACATGTGTTTTTAAGGCTTTTAAAAAGGTAGCACATGTTAACCTTTACTTCATATTCTGTTCTTGTACATATCCTATATTCGATTGACATGTAGCCTATACTTTTTGCACTACTTTGTATTTTGTATTTTTGTGCTTTATAGTAGGCCTATGTTGCATTGTTGGAGGAGCTCAGGTCAGAATAATTTCATTGGCATTTCTACACTGTGGCTTTGTGCATATGACAATAAAACCTTTGAATTTGGTTCAATGTGATTATTGTGATAGTCCAAACAATATAAAGTCTGGGACTATAGGTCATGTTTCTTTATTTAGTTTATGAAAACAAATGAATAAACACATTTGTATCCTATGCAGACATTTATGACTCCCTCAGTATGTGTTCTTTCACTGGGTTTGTTGCCAGAATCCATTTGTATCCGAGAAGTCATTTCTTAAAACCCATGAAGGCTATATTTGTTTATTTGTTCATTCATTTATTAAATTAATTATTTTATATGTGTTTCTATTTCCTATTTTATCATATAGCTTATTTTTCCTCAATGTTGTATAGCTCAGACAGGCATAATAGTTTGTTACTATTTGTTTATTACTTACTCAAATAACTACTATTACTATTAATACATTTTTATTGCCAAATACTTTGGATTATAATATTCTAATACCTGCCAAACTGAGTACAGTCTATGATGCGCAACATGCTAAACTGCAATGGTCAACATCGTGAACATTAAAAACATAATTTTTTTAGCATTGGCCTTTTGAGAATATAAGGATGTTAGCTTTTAGCTCAAAGCACCGTGTCTTAGTCTATCTTGTCTAGTTTGTGATAATATTCATTCACTTATCCACTCACTCCTTGTTACAACACCAACCTCTTGTGGTCACCAGCAGGCCTGATAATGTTCACACTAAACCACGCTTCCTGCCTCTGTGTAACTTGGTGAAGGTTCACTTTCACAGACAGTACAGATAAGACTTATCTCCAGTCAGATATCTGTGATGAAGTGCAGATATGTTGCTCTCCTCTCAATAACGTTATGGTGTTTAAACTGCTGTCAGGGATGACTGCTAAGCAAAACGTCGTTAAAGCTCTTTATCTTTGTGGGTAAACTGACTTCATGTATTTACACAGCCATTCACATCCCCAAATCTGCCTGGAGGTGTGGGACCAGGCCGACAGAGAGGCTCCCCTGGCCGAAGCAGATGGGAGCTACCCATGTCCCTTTTTCAGAACTACACTTTGTTGTTATTGTGAATTGGCATATTTCATGGTTGAGCAATATCATGAGGTACAAAATAAAAGTTCACAACACCTTCTAAATTGACTATGTTGTGAGTGCAGTTTGGTCAAGGATTCATTTGCTCCTTCAATCATTTTTGGTGTGTTTTGGTTAGCTGCCCTGCTTGCATTGGCATTTAGCTAATCTGAAAACGACCTGACAAAGCTGCTGCTGCTTGACCAACTCCAAACTCTAACTGATATGACCTCGACACACACAACAACACAGTCGATTTACATATGAACGCATTCAGAGGGCACCTTAAGTAACCCCGCACATTTGCCAATCACATTTTAGGTGGCTAACTGGGATTGGGTGTCTGACGACTGCTGGATCAACACTCCCTCTCTCTGAGGGACAACCCCACATTTCCTGGAGATCCTGCTCCATCCAGGGATCAGATCTGACATTTAGGAGTCACCGAACAACCCTCCATGTTTCCTGTACTTCTTCACATTTCAAAGTCATAGATTAAACATCCTAAACCAGATCACATCTTTGCCTGTTGGGAATTGTTGGGCTGTGTTGCCTCCCATCTTCCATTATGCTAAATAAGTTCAATAGCCAAACACACGCAGAAAAGAAGGTTAATGTAAGAGCGACAGATGGAAAATAATTGGTACCAGAAAGAGTGAGAGGAAAGAGAGACCTGCTGTGCTAATCTGTGTCACTGCTCTTCTATTCTTAGAAGGTCCCATCGGCCAGCAGAAATATGAGAAACACACGTGATGACACAAGTCCTGATACATTTAGAGAGAGGGTCAGCAAACAGTGACAGAGCCCCCAGACCAGCAATAAACTCCAGATGTGTGGACAGTATGTGTGCCTGGATGGCATGGAGCTTTTCTAGGAGTGCAGCGTCATACAGGACATTTTCTTGAGGAATTATTAATAATTATTCCCATGCATAGGCTATGTACTTTTAAATTATTCCCCCTCCCATTGAAACTCATGTCATATTTGAAAACCAGATCCCTAGGGTCATGTTGCAGTCAGTTTAGAGAGGCTTTACTACATCTATTTGAGCTCATGTGATGATAGAGACTGAGTAGATGTCTCCCTCTAGTGTCTGCCAAGTAAAATACAAGATGTTTGGACCCATATCACAAGCTGCACAAGTCTTTAAGAACAAGTTACAGCTTTCCTGGATTTATTTAAATAATAATAATAATAGATTAATTTTGTTAGCGCTTTTACAGGTGCTCAAAGTCGCTTTACAAAGATAGTGAAAAGAAAAAGAACAACAAATACATATAGTTAAAGTCAAATTAGAATCAAGCAATACAATACAGTTTTTTGAAGGTGGTGAGGTCAGTGCAGTAAAGAGGCCCTATTATGGTTTTTGGGGTTTTCCCTTTCCTGTAGTGTGTTAAATAGGTTTGTGTGCATATAAATGGTCTGCAAATACTGCAATCCAAAAGTTCCCGCAAGAGGGAGTTTCTCTTCCACCCACTCCTCAACTCACAAATGTATATTCTGTTTAGTTAGTTACAGAATGACTCAGTTATTTGAATGTCAACATGTTATAATGTTCTATGAACAGAACTCAGATGCAGACAGGACATTTCTCCCTCATTCAGTCGACTCAGCAAGGAGTGAGCAGCAACTGATAAGAGATTAAAGATACAAAGATCAACTATGGAAAAGTATTTCAAAACAAGTAAGGCATTTTAGAAATCTGTTATAGATCAGTAAGGCTAACTGTTGTGTAAAATATCACAGGATGCCTGTAGCATATGTCGAATAGCTGCCTTTTTAATTGTAGGTACTATATGTGTATAACCAAACCAACATATGGTTATTTGTGTGATGTAATATGTTTTACGGGTACTTAAATATATATATATATATATATATATATTACAGAAAGCATGTCTGATTTTGTCATAATTCAATACTGCTTCCAGATCCTAAATTAAATGGTATTGTAAAATATAGTATAATTTTAAGGTATACTTTACTTTCCATACAATTGAATTTCCTACTTCCTACACAGTGCATTTACATTTTGGAGTAATTAAGTGATTTTTAACATTATATAACAGTTTCACCAAAGTAAGGATTCGCCATACCTCTTTCATCACTGCTTCAAATATTAACAGCAAGCTGGGAGCACATTTTAGCAAAATAAGGCACAATGAAAAAATCCATAAAAATTACATTTTGATTGTTTATTGTTGTTGTGTGAGCTTTCCTTTCTCTCCTGTCTTTCAGCGTTGATGCAAAAAGTCCCTTGCCTTGATGCGTTGAAGAGTGATGATGGATATGCTGCACGAAATTTAAAAAAAGTCCTCGGGGAAAAGCCATATCTTTATTATCCAGCCAGCAACTTCTCTGACATGGGCTGTATCTCATCTGAATCTGGTCCCTCCAAATCTACACCAGGACCTGTAGGCCTCCACATGTGGGAGCAAGACAGCAGGGCCGATGCCTTTCATCCAAGAAAGGAAGACCATTCTCCTCCAGTGAATCACTCATGTGACCTGAGGGATGTTGAGGCTCCTTATTCCTGCTGGATATTGAGGACTCTGCAGAAATTCACTTTCGGATCCATCTACGGCTATGAGAATATCAATCGGAAATACCTCTACGCTCCCCCTTCTGACATATCTGGATTTGTGGATGAGGTCTTCACACAAAGCATCTAGGCCGAATCAAAAGTAGTCAATAAACCACCAATATAAATTACACAAAGCCTTGAACCCATTTGAATAAAATGTATCGGCATACTTTATTTGGTCTTCATTTGGACACTTTTACAAATTCATAAAAAAATACAGAAAACCCCCCAAATGTTTTACAATCAATTACTTTTGGTTGGTTTTACAGTAGCTAATATAACTCTCTTAGTTTGTTGGGGAATAATCTGCTTAGGTATTCAACCTTTGACACAGTTAATAATTTTCTCTTTTCACTGTCTCCTTTCCCATGGCATAAGTCTACGGCCTTGGGTATTGCTGCTATCTCTCTCAAGGAGGGGCAGCTTGGGCGCATTGTTGTTGCCAGTTTATGACCGAGCACAAGCTGACAATTATTTATTGTTCAGGGACGTCTAGAAGCCCTTCTTTTTAGGAACGTAGGTTCACTGGCGCAAATTATGTTCTATTCAGGGTCCATATTTTAGTCTTGCTGATAAAGAATGTTGATTATCACACTCCGAACTAGTTAAAACCTGGAACTACAGAAGAGTTCTTTAGAGTTGATTTGGCATCTCTACCGTGTATCTAACTCGTGGCCCGTGATATGTCTTCAAGCTCCAAATAAACCATCAGTGTTTGACATCAAAGCTCCAGCTCTCCTTGTGTCTCTCTGAGTCCTGACTCCAATTGCTACAGAAGTTTCCCCCACACTGGTCTTATTCTTTTTTTTACATATTTGCATCAAGTTATGTTAATAATATAAGACTTTGCATGGCATTATGATGTGCATGTATTACATAACGTTTTAGAATTCAAAGACATTTTATTTATTTTATGCATGTTCATTTCCACCTCTTTACTCTGTTTCTTGTCTAACGAGTGAACAGCCATTGCCTGCTATTGGATGCTAATGTTTACATCTGGATATATTAGAGTACTAAGTTACTCACTTACTTTTACAGTAAAATGATCAGTGTGACG